AATCTGAGATTCTTCTTATACAAGGATGCACTGGAAAAGTAGGGCACATCAGTGGTCCCAGGAGTTTTTTCCACCGGACACCCTTTTGAAAGTGTACCTGAAACAAAGCGGGTAGTTTTCTGGAAAACTCCAGCATACTGTGCTATAGCTGCTCTGTTTTATTCTTTTTTTCTACTGATCACAATAAACCTTTATTACATTGAGCGCTCTGTACTAAACACCCCGAGTCCAGTTATTTGCGCAAAACGTTGAATTAAACTATATTAGAATATCTTTCTTCTTCTCTGTGGGACTCAGAGACACATGATTGCCTTTAACCTTTTTTTTCTGTAGACTAAACTAATTACTCAGGGTTAAAGAGAGTTGAACGCCTTTCTAAGTGTATTAATAACTCAGATTGCCACCTACTTTACCTTTGATCACAAAGTGTTTCATTAAATGAACCTTGCAAACCAGAGACAAAAAAAGAGAGAGTTGTCCTTGTAACAGAGTTTATGTGTCTGACTGCAGGTCTCCTGGAGAGCAGCATGCGCCTGAAGCCCCATGAAGCACAGAACTACAGGAAGAAGGCGCTCTGGGTGTCTTGGCTCTCCATCGTCGTCACTCTTATTCTGGCTGTGGCAGCTTTCAGTGAGACTTTGCTATTTTTTTTGCCATATTTAGCAACTATAGAGCTGTTTAGTTCTCACTTTACTGTCAAAACTCACATTAAAGTAAAAAAAACCCTCTCATAAGGAGTTGGAAAAGACTCAGGATTAAAATACTTCGTTGTATAATGTTAAAAAGTTTTTTTCTCTGGTTTAATTTATGACAAAGATCACATTTAGCACTTTGGATTTAACCAAACCATACACCAAGGAGAAACGATGTGACTAACATACCAAGCCATAAAAAATGTGCTGATGAATGAACAGTGATTCCGTAGTTAAAGCGCTTAAATGCTATATTCATAGCATTTCTAAAAGCTTTCCCAGTTATAAAAGTGAAGCAAATTGAAGCCCAGCACATTTCACCTGCTACTGTTTTTAAATGGACATGAACAGATCACACATGTCTGGAGTGTATGACCACAAAGAGCGCGTCTGATACCTGTGCTGACATGATAAAGGTGCCGTTGGGAAAAGAAAATGATTGAATCTCAGAAATCGATTTTAGAAGCTATATTTTGCTGTTTGTTGCTGGTGTTTTGTAGCAGTTTATCCTCTTTTAAAATCAGAAATTCTGGTTTGTCTTTGTTGTTTGGTTCAACAAAGACTGATATTAATTCACCAGATGTGTTCTGTCAGCTGTTGTGTTGGAGAAATTCATAGCTATTGTATATAACACCACAGTCCAAGTGACGGAGCACTGAACACATTACTTCTCCAAAAAAACACATTAGGAGTTGCTGTGAAACTGCTTTAATTTTTAGCTACAGGCTTTGATCACCGTACAAACATTTGAGTTGTTGTTGTCTGTTGTTGTCTTTTTTATTGCTTCATGATTCATCAGTCAGTGTTAAATTTGTTTAATAGACAAACAAACAAACGATTTGTCTGAAATGAAAATGAGATGTTCACTCATGGAGCTGATGTCCATAGAAAGTCTGGCTGTTTTGAAGCAAAATACAAAGAAATGAGGGTTGCTTGAGACTTTTTGCACAGTGCTGTAATTTATCACTATAAACCTTTTTGTTTACAAAAACAGAAGTGAGGATTCGGCATAAATAGACTATTATTCTGCAAGCTCGATGTAAACAGTTTATTTATCATAGCTAGACTGCAGAGGTCTGTTTCTGCTGCACTTGTAGTAATTTCATAATCTCTGAATTACACGGCTTAAAACTAATTTGTCAGCATCAAATCGTGTAATAAAGTCTGACACAAGTTTACTTTTTCAAAATTCAGGTTTATCCTCGAAGCCTTTGTAAACGACATAATGTCTAACATGGAAGTAAATATAGTCTGAGAGCTGTAATAATTATTCCACTGTCTTCATGCCTCTTTAACTACTTGATTAACTCACACTCGGCAATTAAAACTCACTTCATCTGATTTGAACAAAAAGGCTTCTGCTTTTGGAAGCTCTTCACATTGCGTGCAACAGTTTCAACACAGTTTCTTGTCTTATGACTGACAGGATGTGTGAGGGCGCAGTCTGCAGTGACAAAGGGGATGTTGCTTTTTCATTCTGCTAAGATTCAAGTTGTGATGTGTCCCAACCTTTTCAAGCCTTTTGTCTTTTCAAGTAAATACTGATGAAGCACAAGCTCATTTTCCACATCAGGAGCTACATGTGTAGTTGGGGTTTGCAGTAGAGAGGAGAATTAGCACCTCCACTTTGGTAGAGGCTGGCTCGTCCACTCCAGTTTGGAGTGAGCTGGTGTCTTAAGTGAATAAGCTGCAGTGTTTTGCATTCTTGCTCATGAGTGGGTAACAGTTGGGCCAGGGCAGGGTCTGCAGTGATTAGCTAAAACAGTGAAGCCCAAAGGCAAAGCTGTGGCTTACTGGTAAAAATGTGCTTCGGTCCTTAGCTATGGATAATGATCCATTTAGCAAACAAAGTCTCCTTTTTTTGGGCTCACTTTAAAGATAATGTGAGATAAGATGGAGGAGACCTGAAGACACACTCACAAGACGCTGGACAGAATATTCGTGTTATGGCCAGCAGGTATCATCCCCAAAGAGGTGAAGGAGGTGGCAGGGGAGGAGGACGGTGTGGTCTGTCTTTTATGCAACATCCAGTTGTACGGGTTATTTTTGCTCTCGGATATTAGGATATTAAGGATAAGGATATTATAATACAGATATCAACTCGTAATTAAAACATTTTTAATTAGCTGATGAAATCTGGATACGAGTAGCACTTCTTCTTCAGACCCACAGTAATCAGCATTCAGTGCATTTAAAAAAAATTACAACCTCTATGTGTAAAAATAGACCAAGATGAGAAAAAATAAATATTATATTGTCAATGCTGGCATGAATTAATACAGCTCACAGAGTGAAGCTAGTGCAGGGATGAATGAGGAGAAAGAGGTGAAATGCAGAATGGTGTGTGTGTGTGTGTGTGACTCTCAGCACACAGAGAACAGAGACTTCAGCAGAAGAACAGGATGACCCACTAAAATATGAACTTCTAAACTGAGAGAGAGACAAAAACAAGAACAGGAGAGCAGAAGGTACCCAGATGTGTAGATGCGCTTCCTTCCACGTCTCCTAAACGCAGCCCGAGAAGACAAGTCAGGGGAACTTGGTCAGAAAATTAAAGTATGAATGCACTGCCCTCCGTCTCCTCTCCTGCCACCTGCAGTAGAGGGAAGAGAGGCAGATGGATATGGACGAATGAATGAAGCTCTGGAAGGTACGATGGCGCCAGGGGACGAGGCAGGACCGGGCGTGATGAGTCCTGGCAGGCGGCGTCGGGGATTTAGTGGTTGCGATGGCTCAACTTTAAAGAATAAGCGTGTCGTTTCCTCCTGCTTGTGCCCTAGTTTCTCCCTCTTTCAGGTCCACCATCTTCCATTTTTTATGTTTTACATCTTGTCAACGTATTTCTTTACACTCTGCTTTGTTTACTTCATCTTTATGGGTTTTCTCAGCATATATCTCCCTCCTTACTCATTTTTTCCCAAAATATCTACTGTCACAGATATAGCTTTTATGAGTTTTCCTGAAGTGGACACGTTTAAACAAAACTCTGTTTTTGGATCCTGTTTTTGCCAGCCTTTTAGCTTTTGCCCTTCTAGTTTTCCTTTTCCTCTTCTTCTCTGTCTTCAGCTCTCTCTGTGGAAATCTGCAATAATCCTATATCCTTCCGTGACCTTTAGCAGCACTTTAACATTTAGAAAGGAGAAGGGTTCACTGCAAGCCTCTTCTGCTTTACTTTCAATTGTATTGACTCTCGAATGTCTCGGTCATGATTGGCTGCTCTGGGTGAGCTTGCAACCTCTCTTGAGAAGCTGCCTTTTGTGGTTAGGTATTCACCTGTGAAAGTGGTACAAGTCTTTGAGGCTTTATCAGACATCTCAGACTGAGAGAGAAAGCACAGACCACACCTGAAGAGAAAGGAGCAGGAACATCTCTGTGCTTTAAGCTGTCCAGCAGAGTGTGAGCAGGTAATTATATGAACTCTGTGACTGAGAAACGCAGGAAACTAGAAGATGACGACAACATTTCCTTTATATCTTGGTCATCAAACTGATAGATGGACAAGTTTTTTGATATTCATATTCAGGATGATGAAATCAATGAAGATTTCTTTTTAAAATAAAATAAATAGATAAAATAGATAAGTATCAAAAAAAATTAACCATTTTTCCCGTTGTTTCTTTTTTTCTTCCACTTTTCTTTTTTTTTTAAAAATATACACGACTAATATGTAAAAATATGAGTCTTTACATAATATTAGATGCAGTTTAGTACAGCATTCATATGATGCACAGAGCATCAAATCAATTCTACTCCAGTCTTAATTTTGTTGTATTCATTGAAAATGGATGCACAATGTATGAAAACGTACTGTTTAGTTTTTAGTTTTGTGGTCTGAGAATTATGTTGATGTGTTGTTATGACTGGAGACAAGATCTGCAGGCTTACATGTAAAAGTCAGGTGTTTTTGCATCACGCGTGACTGTAACACACACTTTTCCTTCAAGTAGAAAACTGATTTTTCTGTGTTGCCATCAAACAGCATATAATACACATATAAAGCCTTCTAGTGTTTTTGATTAAAGATTCTCGTGTAATTTGTTAGTATTAGAGGATTTCTGCCATATGGTACATTTTATGGTGCTTGCCAGGCAGTCCACTGAGAAGCTGTTCCACGCTCAGAGTAGGGACTGAGTGCACAGCAACAGGAATGATTTTCAGAGTGGCTCTAGGACATTTAGGAGCAGGCTATTGGCCTCTACACTAATAGGCAGCCACGAGATCAATCAGGGCTGTTGCCAACAGCCATTTAATTTTTGAGCAAGGAGAAGATTGTGGTAGAAATGAGTAAAAGAGGGTTAAAGCAGGAGGATGGCCAAGGGGAATAAAGCTGAGATTGAGAAGACGCCAAAGTAAGATTTAGAAAGAAGAAAGAGGGAAATGTGGTGGTGCGGTAGTGACAGGATGTGAAGTAGAGGACATAAAAGAGGAAGAATGTTACTAAAATACTGTGAAATTATAAATATAGCAGAGTAAGAGTAAGACAGCAGGAAACAGAAATAAATAGATTTGTCTTCAGCAGCTTCTCCTTCAGTCTTCTGTGTTCCTCTGTGCTTCTTGTTTACTTTTCCTTCTTTCGCTTCATGCAGTCGGGGCGTAATTACTGTGATTTAACCCAGATACATAAAGCAAAAGCCCAACATAGTTATAAATAATCCAGCACTTTATGGATATCTATGTGTGCCACGACTGCGTGGCTGGAGACAGAAGTAGCTGAAACCCAGCATGCAGGAAAAAACGTAGCTCTGTAACACAACCTCTGCACAAACTTGTAATCTTTGACATGTGCTGAAGGCACAATGACACCCCTGTTTGACCTGCCAGACTGTTGTCACAGATTAAACTCCACTCGTCTCTACTCAGGCCCATTTTTTTTGACTTCATAAACTCATTCAGTGCAATACTCGATTAAATAATGCTCTCTTGACTGAATACAGGTAT